TGCTGAGACCCCCACCCTCTGTCTCTTGGCCATGTACTTTCTGTCCCAGAGACCTCCTCCAGGACACAGGCACAGACACTCACCTGAGGCCATACTGCCGTGGAACCCGAGGGGTATGAGACTGCCTGCCAGGTCCGTACAACCAAAGCTGGGGTCGCAAATGAGGAGGAGGTTGAACCCAGACCGGCCAAAGTCGCCCCAAGGATCCCTGGCTCTGGCACCGAGACGGAAGTAGCGGCAAGGCGGCAGTTTTTCAAAGAGATGACCTGGCGGACCGGCGGATTCGGCGGACTCGGCCGCTGAACTAGCCTGAAGACTCTCAGCAGTCCGGACTTGGCTGTTCTGCTCAGAGGCGAGCAGGCTGGCTCTCAGAGAGTAGCAGGACCTGGAACTGTGGTGTGCTTCTTCAACGTTTCTCTCTGTGTTCAGGATCGGACTATCAGGCTGGACTGTGGTCGAGTTTCACGTAACAGGTGTGACCCCACCCTGGAAGCCTAAGCTAGCGCCTCAGGGGCAAGTCTCAGCTGGCCCCAGGCCCTGCTGTGCCTGAGGCCCCTGCCTCCCCTCCGGGCAGGTTCAGGCTGTTCTTCTTCCTCGCTCACGTGCGTGGCAGCCGCCACTCCGCGGTTAGCCAGGGTGGTCTTCTGGGCAGGCAGGGTTGTGCAGTGTCAGCTTCCTCATCAGTGAAATGGGCGGTGTAGAATTCAAGGGATAGTTCTGGCGAAACGTTAAGCACCTTTGCGGCACGAGTTCGGCACAAAGTCGATGGCCCATAAAAGATAACTAGTATTTGTCCTCAGACCTATTCATTTTGTTTTTTACATTTTATTTTTAAGTAATCTCTACTAAGACCAGCAGTAGGGGCCTGAACTTTACAACCCTGGTGATCAAGAGCTGTTGCTCCACCACACTGGAGAGCTTCAGCTGGCACCCCCCATTCATTCACTTTAGAAGTCATTACTGGGTAGGGCTTGGTGGCGAGGCCACGGGTTGCTGCCGACCCCAGCCAGGTCACGCATTCATGTCTGCAGTCGAGTTCTCCGGTGATCGCTCGATGGCTCAGAGCCTGGAGCCTGATTCTGTGTTCTCCCTCTCTGCCCCTCCCCCCCCGCTTCATGCTCTGTCTCTTCTCTGTCCCAAAGAAAAATAAATAAACGTTGAAAAAAAGAAGTCACACTGGGCATTCTCATTCCCGGTCCTCGGCAAGCTTCTGAGGAGGCAGATAAACAGGGTGTCCTGCAATCCAGGCTCTCTCACCTTCCCCTCTCCCTTTTTTCAATAGATATGATTTCATTTTTTTTTTTTATTTATTTTCTTTTTTTTTTTTTTTTTGATTTTCTTTCTTTTTTTTTTGATTTTCTTTTTCATCATTTTTCTTTTCATTGTTTTCTTTTTGATTTTCTTTTCATTTTTCTTTTCGATCTTCTTCATATCTTCTCTCTCACCTTTGTTTTTCTATTCTCTTTTTCTTAAAATAATAAAGATAGATAGATAGGAGGGAGATTTAAATAGAAAGAGCAGGAGAGAAGATTTTGAGGCTAAATTGGATTGACGATTTAATTATCTGACACACTATGCTTAGCCGTTTTTAAATGCTTTACTATATGCCAAGATTTTCACTTATCACTTTGCATAAATTCTCAAGTTGTTTTGAAGTTCCCTGCATCATAACCATCTTGAATTTTAGGTATCCTATATAGGAGAGATTAAAACTGTGAAAGTTTCAACTTTTTCTGTTACTCATCTGTGCAGCGGTCTAAAGGACTGTGTAACTTTATTCAGATAGTAGTAAGATATTTTTTCATCATGAGGAATTTTGGTGTTCCCTGAATGGAAACCCCACAATATATTCCTTGGCAAGTACTTATGTACACACAGTTGTCTTGGGTTGTAGTTACTGAAATATAGCTATTTGTTTGATTACTTACATGTGTGAGAAAAGTAGGAATAAGAAAGGCCTCCCTCTGGTAATTTTAATAAATCAGTAACAGCAGTGATACAAATATCAAGGTGAATTCACTTTAATGCCTCATTCCAAAGTTTGAAACTCAGGGCACCAGGGTTGCCCGGTCATTGAATATCCAACCGATTTCAGCTCAGGCCAAGGATCTCACAGTTTGTGGGTTCAAGTCCTGCATGAGTTAGAGCAATCGTTACTTAGAGCCTGCTTGAGATTCTTCTTCTCCTCTCTCTGCTGCTCTTTTCCCCACTTCATGCAAGTACAAATAAACAAATAAATAAAATTGATGTTTCATTCTCAGAGTAGAAAGAGACTCCTGGGAGTGGGAGAGGGCAGAGGTGAGAGAGAGAGGGTGACACAGAACCAGCAGGCCTGCTCTTGAGTTGTCACATAGAACTCGATGTGGGGCTCTGGAATCATTAAACGGAGATAACAGACTTTCAGCCAGTTGATGCTAGTAATGCACTGAGCCACCTGGCTTTTTTAAAAGGTGCTGGGCACGGTTAAGGACTGTCTTCAACTTCCAGTCAATCACAGGTCATGATCTCATGGTTCAAGGAGTTCCTGCCCCACATCAGGCTTTTGAAAGTTTATTATAGCTCAAGCTTGGAGTTTTACAGTGTTTTGATTCTGTGTCTCCTTCTCTCTCTTGCCCTCTCGCTCACTCTGTCTCTGTCTCTCTCTCTCTTATTTTTCACTTATTATTTTGGAGAGAGACAGAGTGTGAGTGGTGGACAGAGAGAGAGGGAGACACAGACCAGCTAAAGCTCCAGGCCCCTGAGCTGTCAGCACAGAGCCTGACACAGGGCCGGAACTCAATGAATCCTAGAGACCTGCATGACCTGAAATCTAAGTCAGACACTTAACCACTGAGCTACCTGAGACGCTTAACTGATAGAGCCACGTGCTAATCCGTCTTGATGCTAACTGCCCCAAAACTGTTTTAATGCGTAGAATGACTTGTCCCGTGTACTTTTTAAGGAAGCATGGGATTGGGGCCAAGTGACTCTGGGTTTGGATTCCAGCTGCAACTACCGGGAGAGGTAGCTGTATGACCCTTCTTGAATTAATTACTTAACTGTCTTTTCTGTGTGTAAAATAGGATAATACAAAATGACCTACTTCTCAGGGAGGACTTGGGGGCCCAGTTGGTTAACTCCTTTTTGGTTTGCTCATCAAGATCTGGCCTCCTGAGTTTTTTGAGCCTTACTGGTCAGCTCAGACTGCATGGGATTTTCTCTTCATATGTAATGCTACTGCTTCTCTCTCCTCGCCTCTGCCCCTCTCTCATGGACCTTCCCCCCTCCCTGCTCACACTCCCTCTCTTCTTGGGAAGACCTACCCCATTCAGCGTTCTGCCTGAATTAAATGCATTCCTATAGGTGGGAAGTCTCTGGCCCAGGTCCCTGGAGGAAGATATACCTGTTTCTTGTGTATGAGATCTATGGTATATTCATACTTAAAAAAATAATAATTTGGAGGCATCTTAGTGGCTTTCAGTCCATTGAGTCCCCTAAACTTCAGCCTCCCTAGGTTGGAATCTAGGTTTCATGGGTTTGACAGGCATCAAGCTTTACATGTTGTCAGAGCTTGGGATCCTGTCCTTTTCAAAATAAGTAAACATTAAAAACAGTAATAATTTGGCATACCCTTCATTGTTCTGTACCTTTTTCAGTGTGCTATCTTGAGATGTCTCATATCGCTGCATGTGGTTCTACTCTTTTTCTTGGGGCTGCTAGTGAAGTATATTTATTGAGGAAAATTCATAATTTATCTCATCATTTTCCCTTGACGCGGAGTCTATGGTTTGTCTTTCCTCTTGTTCTACCACCGAACGTGATCACATGAGATCTGGGTTGGGTTCATCCACTGTGCTACAAAGCATTCAGAGACCAGCAATGCAAAGTCTTATTCTTAGAGTGAAGGAAGCTGACTGCTATATAGAGAGTAGTAAGTGAAGAAGGGTTTTTGGTAAGTGCTCTGGGGGGGGGTCCTGGAGTGTGGATCTACCCAGCCACTTTCCAAACTGGAATACCACTGTATGGCTGGTGTTAGAGCCTTAACCTGAGAGCCTGAGAGCAGCAGGTCATGTGGGTAGGCCTCATTTAGTCAAAGTATCTGTCCATTGTGGGAGGTTGGGGAAGAGGAGATCCAAGATGGCCAACTGGTTTCTATGCTGGCAATATAAAATACTAGATTCAGCCCATGATGAGTCCCAAGTATTAGGAAGTATGTTGGCTGAAGGCCAGTTATGTTTCTGCCCTGGCTTCATCCCGTCTTCTCCAAATAGGAAGGGCATGTCAAGAACATAAGCACTGCTTAGTGATTAGTAGTATATTACATTTTCAAACTCAGAAAATCTAAAAAGTGAGCATGTAAACCATCTCTCTCTAGAGAGTAGTATTATAAGGGATAATTCTGTCTGAAATGTATTTTATTTTTCAATTACAAAAAAAGACCTTTCTTAGTAGATGAATAATAATGAGAGGATCTATTGCTGGATGATGAGATAGAGGATGATGAGGAGATACAGAACATGATCTGTTATTGTCTCCTAGTTAGTTCAGTTGGATCCTTCCTTTAGATTCCTGTGTGTAGTTCTCCTAGGTCAGGAATTTGTCTTTCTCTCTTTCTCTTCTCTTCTCTTCTTCTTCTCTTCTCTTCTCCTTTCCTTCCTCCTTTTTTCCTTCCTCCTTTCCCTTTTTCCTTCCTCCTTCTTCCTTCTTCCTCTCCTTTCTTTTCTCTTCCTTTCTTTCCTTCCTTCTTTCTCCTTCCTTTCCTTTCTTCTTTCCTTTCCTTTTCTTTCTTCCTTCCTTCTTCCTTCCTTCTTTTCTTTCTTCTTCCTTCCTTTCTTTTCCTTGGTAACCCTCTCTCCCTCCCTCTCTCCCTCTCTCCTTTTGGCAAGGAATTTGTGGTAGACTGGGATGATGAGAAAGAAGCTGATTCCCAAATCAGAACTAATTGCCATACTTTGAATACTGTTTAAGCAGGACTCTTCTTAGATTGTGTTGCTTAACTTTTTCTCTATTTGAAATTCCAGGGTGACAATGAAGAACAGGAAAAATTACTGAAGAAGAGCTGTACGTTGTATGTTGGAAATCTTTCCTTTTACACAACTGAAGAACAAATCTATGAACTTTTCAGTAAAAGTGGCGACATAAAGAAAATCATTATGGGCCTGGATAAGATGAAGAAGACAGCATGTGGGTTCTGCTTTGTGGAGTATCCTTCCTATGTGTCTGGCATAAGCTATTGGATGAGGGTGGGCCTAGAGTGGCTAGTCACCTGTTGAAAAATTGAGTGAGGCCATCCACTAATTAGCATCCCTGTACTTAACCTCTCCTTCTTCCTTCATCTCCCTCTTAACTTCCTGTCCAATGTGTCTACACTCTTGAATTGTGAAAGCTGATAACATTTACATCCTGTTCTGAAATCCATGCTTTTGTTTATAACCGATTCTTTAAGAAACAATCTGTTGAAAGTATATGCTCGTGATATTTACAAAAGTCCAAAGCGGGGGCACCTGGGTGGCTCGGTTGTGTCCATCTCTTGATCTCAGCTCAGGTCTTGAGTTCAGGGTAGTGAGTTCAAGCCCCATGTTGGGCTACACGCCCACACTGGGCGTGAAGACTACTCAAAATGGGGGCGGGGTGGGGGTGGAAAGCTGACCAAAAGCTGACCAAAAGTTCAAAGGGTATAGTGAAAACCTCTGTACTATTCTAAACCTAGAGACTGTTACCAGTCTCTTGGGTATCTTTCCAGAAGTGATCCTGTGGATGTGTAGTAGCATACTGCATGCACTAATTTTTGCCCTCTACCTTAGAGATTGTTTTGTTAGCATATGTAGGTGTACCTTTTTTAATGGCTGTATAATATTTCATCATGTAGATATATAGAACTTGATTTTATAGGTCAAAACCAAAATTTACTTCTCTGGAAATTGTATAAATGTTGGACTTCCTGGATTTATCATTTGGGGGGTTTTTCCCCAATATTTTCGTATTTGGTCATTTTGCTTTATGTTCTGAGAAATTTCCCAGACTTGATCTAACAGCGTGTTTTTAAAAACTTTTTTTTGTGTCCCAAATTACCATTTCTTTTTTCTTTTTGGCAGGTTGTATTTATGCTGTAAATTTTCCTTAAATGTCTGGTGGAGGTTTCTGATCATAATCAGGGAAAGGCTAAGGCTAACTTTGTAGACCCCAGCAGATCTTCTCTTTCAAGTTTCTGCCTTGCCTTTGGGATATGTGGGTTTCCCAAATGCTAGTATGAAAGGGATTTTATTTTGTCATACTAACATCAAAGACACTGCCCTAACCCTAGTTCCTCCAATTTGTTCAGAATTCTGTTACTCTTTTTTTATTTGCCTAGGATTAAATGCCTTCCTGCTACCGGGTCGTCTTCCCACATATAGACCTTTAATTAAACCGTTTGCTGTCTCACACTTTTGAGAGCCTCATGTGTTTGCTGTCTCCTTTAAGCTCCTTCAAGAATATTTCAAACTGTGACTTTCTTTCATCAGCAGTCTTCCATCAGCTTTTGTTGAATCTCTGGTTTCCTGATGGCCTTTTCTGTTCTTTGGGTGTATCTTTTCTGTCATTTTAATTGGGTCTTGAGAAGGAAATGAGGAATATGCTCACTCTGTCAGCTTGAAATGGAAGCCCTACTTAACCTATTCCAAACTTGTGATTTTGGTATTTGATTTCTAGGCTCTGCAAGCTTCTTCCATTCTCCTGTCAGTCACAGAGGACAAGAGTGCTCAGATTTTATATCTGCCTCTTCACAGGGAGAACGAGAACACAAAAAGCAAAGAAAATCTACCTTATAATTAATAATCAGTCTGAGAATTGGAATGCTTTTGCATCTGTCTTGTAGGTCAGAGATTCACAATCATAATAGCAAATACCCAAAGGAAAGGCTGCTGTGGACAGTGGTTTCTCTCAGTTTGCCCTTTTCTCATTCATTCAGCAAAAAAGTTATTGAATGCCTATTATGTGCCAGCAGTGTAGGTGTTGGACACTGGAATTTCTGCAAGTGCTTCCTTACCTGTGTAATTAAAGACCTAGAGGGAAAGGGGCGCCTGGGTGACTCAGTCAGTTAAGCATCTGACTCTGCTCAGGTCATGATCTTGTGGCTTGTGAGACTGAACCCAGCTTCGGGCTCTATGCTGACAGTGCAGAGTCTGCTTGGGATTCTCTCTTCCTCTCTCCCTTTCTCTGCCCCTTCCCTGCTTGTGCATGTTTTTGCTCGCTCTCTCAAAATAAGCCTTAAAAAAAAAAAAAAAAAGACATGGGAAAAAATCTAGATCAGCATTTCCCTGAACCCAGCCAATGATCATAATTGCTTATGGAGGTTTTTTTAATATATAGATTTTTAATGTTAATTTAGTTTGAGAGAGCATGCGCATGAGCAGGGGAAGAGCAGAGAGGGAGAGAGAGAATCCCAAGAAGGCTCCCCAACTCTCAGCATGGAGCCCCACGTGGGCCTCGAACTCACGATCCATGAAATCATGAACTGAGCTGAAATCAAGAGTTGGATGTTTGAGCCATCCAAGTGTCCCTGGAGATTTTTTTTTTTTTTTTAATACCACTCCAAAGATAGATTTAGTAGACCTAATTAAATAGATTTGGAAACAACTAACCTGATAGAGCCTTTCCTTCTAATGAAATGCAATGGCAATTCCGTATGCACTGTAATCTTTTTATTAAGGTTGTTGAATATACAGTTTCAGATTTGGATGCTTTTGTTTCTTTGGATAAGAAGTGTGCAGTTTGTGATCCAAACCTGCACTGAACATATTTATACTTTACAAACCAAAATATGGGGACAGTGGGACCAAATCATTATCGGCAAGATTCTCCAGGAAATCTCAGTCAGTAGTCCTGGATAAATCTTAGTTGACCCTGTAAGTGCTTTTGGACCAACCTCAAACAAGCTTGTCTGTCTCTGAAATCTATCTGGTTGGATTTGTTTTTGTATTCTTTCTTATCTCAGCTTCATTTAGATGTTTCCCGTATTTCTAAAAATGTTTGGAGAAATGCTATATAGTGTTCCTTAATACTTCCACTTAAGATACTATTCAAGAGCAGATGCAGAAAATGCCATGAGGTACATAAATGGAACTCGTCTGGATGACCGGATCATTCGCACAGACTGGGACGCAGGCTTTAAGGAGGGCAGGCAGTATGGCCGTGGGCGATCTGGGGGCCAGGTATGCAGGAAGGTTCTCTTGGCTCAGGGTTTGCCTGGGATTTCAGTCCTAGTGACAAGATTTTGTCAGTTTGTGTTTGCTCTTGTAGAAAATAACTTTGTGCCTATAACCCTCGCTTGAAGGGAATCTGAAAACTAACCATTAGGATTGGTAAATTATAGATTGTATACATTTTCACAAGCAACCATTATTGGACTTCTGCCAGGGCCTAGATATTTTGTACCTGCAAGTGTCTAGAACAAAAGGAAAATGCACTGAAATAAGTTCTGAGTTTTTATTTTAAAAAATAGCCTAACTTGAGTAATCTTTGGAGTATGCTACTTTTGAATGCTGGTGAAAGAGTATGAGCATAATGTTTGGTAAAAAACTGTTAGTAGGGGCACTTGGCTGGCTCAGTCAGTAGAGATGTAATTCTTGGTCTTGGTTGTGAGTTCAAGCCCCACGTTGGGTGTAGAACTTACTTTATTTGCTACCCCAATCTTCTCTATAATGTAACTTGTGTTCTTTTCAATTAAGGTACGAGATGAGTATCGTCAGGACTATGACGCTGGGAGAGGAGGCTATGGAAAACTGGCCCAAAACCAGTGAGTGGTGAGAGCCCCATCGTGAAAACTCAGTCCTTTGGCCTGTTCAATTTGCCATGCATTACCCAAGGTCTACAAACCTGTCCACTTGTACCATGCTTTGATCAAGGTCTCTTCTGAGCTGGAAGCCTTTTCCTGGTTTTCCTTTGAAAACTATTAAAGGACAGAATCCAAAAGAATGCCTTTAAATCTATAGTCTTACAATCTTGGCCATGTGTCAGGTTACCAGGTCAGAATTTGTGTTCCATGGCAACAGATTCAATCTACGATGTTGATCTGTCAGCCCCAAACACCACACTTCTTTTAGGAAGATGGAAAAATTTTTAAATGGATAGTACGATCACAGTCTACACTGGGGCCTGGAATTATTAAAAATTAGGTTTGCAGGAGACAAAATGTAATAAATGGGGCTTTGCTATGTTGTACAGCTTTGTTCTGTTTAGAAGTCTGACAACTACATTTGTTTCTGGGTTGAGTTCTAATCTCTAAAGGCAAATTTAGGAGTCAGGGCAACTTCCTAAATTGTTGGAGCAAAAGTAAGCCTTAGACTGTAAGCCAGGGGATACCACCAGCTTATATGCTATATGTATTAAGACTTGAGTATTTATTATTTTATACATTTTTCAAAAGATGTGTTTTACTTAGAGCTACAGAAGGGTTTATGCATCAGACTGATTTGTTTTCAGAATGATGTTAGGGATGGACTGGGTTTAAAAAGGGCTTGAAGATCAAGAGAACACATAACAAGAACAATCAGAATTGCTTCCCTCAGGAAATGTGTTTTGGCTAATTCTCATACTGAAGTCTGTCTTGTTTTTTCCTTAATTGTGCTTACGGAGTGTCAGAGCCTGGACAGTTTAGAGAAGGGAGTCTACAAAATTTATTTTGTATTCATAAGGCATAAGTTGATTTCTCTAATGTAACTGTTAGTCTAATATACTTTTCCCTGACATATAAGTGAAATTTTCTCATCTATCAACAAAGTATCTCCTAACTTCTAAGGTTTGTGAGAGTTGGAGATGAAGTACCTTAATAGGAACATCTTTCACATTAAAGTATAGGTTCTCTCATTAAGTTCAAGTTGATTACTTGGATTAAGAGCTATGACTAGCTGTAAGTGCATAATTTGCAGATGTTTAATGAAGACATAACACTCTTCATTTGAAATATTTCTTTTACGCTGTACTTTGAATTAACGTATTTTATAATGTTGTAGTAAAACGTAACTCAGATTTCCACAGACAGTGGTTCCTTTTTGAATTGTTGAACCAAGTTATCATCTCTGCCCATCACCTATAAAGAGAGACATTGGAACTCTTCCTCTGGAATATTTGAGTAATGTGCAGAATTTACATGTCTAATAGCGAGCTCATGAGTCACATGGGGGTAGCGGCTGTTGTAGTGCATGCAAATATGAACATTGCCATCACTGCAGAAGATTCTGTTGGACACTGTTGGGTCAGCTGCTTAGAGCTTACACTGGTCACTGTTCATAAATGAGCTTTGTCGTGACAAGAGCGTCACTCTCCCAAACAGTACGTGTTATTCAGTACAAGAGAACACACGTTTATAAAGGCATTTAGTTTATTTTTCAAAAAAATATTTTTGCTAGAAGGTTTGAGTACTTTTACATGATCACAATCTTTAAATAAATTCTTTTTCTGTCCAAAGGTACCATTTAAGTGAACAGCTTATCTAGGCCTGTTTTTGTAACACCCAAATACAATTTGCATTTCTCTGACGGTATATTCCCTAGGTCTTAATTATCTATAGGCCAGGAGGCAGAGCCTCGCACATAATAGAAGTAGGTGCTTTACAACTGTTGATTAGTTTGGTTTCTTAACATAATTAAACAGAGCAGGTAGTCAGTATATTCAATTCACACTATTTATTATTAACATACTTTTTCTCGTGTGAAGGGTCTGATCCACCCAGAGCTCTCCCAGTCAGCCCTTCTCACCCGGGGAAGCAGTGAACACAACTGCAAAGAAAAAGGGCAGCTCTTCCACTAGTCAGGGCTGTTGTTTTGTTCCAACCGTGACTCCAAGATGACAGTGTCACTCAGAAGTAGAAAATATAATGCAAAGCCAGAAAGTGGGGATTATTGGCAGCAACTGCTTCCTTTCCCTTCCTTAAGAGGTTCCCTTTCTTCTTAAGAGAACTAAAAGTTGAATTAAATCCACATTCATGGCTACAGATTTAACATAAGGACAAATCACTGGAAAGAAACAACAGACTAGTAATTTGCTGATGGACCGGGCAGCTTGAAGGCACATCATAAGCAGCTTTTAGTTTGTACAAGGCCTGCACTCAACCTCAAAAGCATAAGGTCTGCCCACTTTGTGGGCACCCAAACAATTCAGTGCCAAGCTAGTGACAATAAAACAATGCCTGTCTCTTCCACCAGCAGCCCAGACTATATTTAAAAAATGTCTTTGTTGCAAAGAAGCAATTATTGCAAACAGGACAGAGGCCCCTCTGATGTAGGGTTTGGGCTAATAGAGGTTTACACCTAATCACAAGGGGGAAAAGCAACTCTGTATGCTAAAACCGAGTTTCATGAATAGAGGAACGTTTTGAACCATACTTAAAACATCTGACATTAGGCAAAAGCAAGCTTGACAGTACACCTCAAGGGTGCCCTATGAAGCTGGAAGTGAAAGGGAAGCGGGACTTGGGCAGCTTACTGTAGTTACCTCTTGAGCACCCCTGCTTGCCTCCGCGCCGAGGAGGTGACCGTTTCTCAGACTGGAGGAAAACGGCAACTCCACTTCTGAGCATTAAAGATGCAGAACACAGTTCTGCCTCTTCTACGTGCCTGGTTGTCAGTGAGGAGGTGAGATGGAGCTCTAAAGTATAAAACACTGTGAATCCACAGCCTAGTTACTGGCCACTGCATAACTGCCCCCTTCTCCCATTAGGCAAATGTCTTACATGCAGATTTGAAAAAATCTCATGTTTGCATAATTAGCTAATGTCAGAAAACCTCAGGATCTCTTCCTCACTTTAAATTGTCATCTTTGCAAATGCTGACAACACAAGCCTAACTGTAGCAGCATAAAGTGCCTCTGATCTCAGTCCTTTTAGCGACCTGAAGCACAGTAAGAAATACTGACCTGGTTTTACACGAAGTCTAGAGGAGTGTGGAGAATGCTGGGGCTCTTTACAATGTAAACACTGGTGTTGGTGCTTGGAATGTCAGGGGATGGGAACCCTCCGTGTAAACATGTTCTGACTCTACCTTCAACTGCTGGAAACCTTACCTCATGGCCAAGTTTAACTGCACGTTTTAGCTTTTTATTTCCAACACCCCATACCTAACCAGGCATAAATCCAAGTATCTTCTGTCATTTACTTGGTATTTGGTGTAAGCTTCTGAGATGCTTACATACACCTCTGTTGTTTTTTCTGCCCCAGTTCAGAAAAGGTAATTGAGTAGTTTAACATGCATCTTTCCTCATTTCCTTTCTTTTCAAATATCACAAAAGGCTAGAATAAAGATGCAAGATCCATTACTTTAATCCTAATGCAGCGAAGTATTAGGACAGGGTCGCTTCTGCTTTTCCCCAGAAGACGAGGTTGATAGAAGTGAAAAAAGGACTCCAGCTCTGGAGTCTCAGGGTTGGTCAACAAGAGGCCAACTGAGGGAGCCCCGCATGCTGCTGAGATCACTAAAGAGGTAGGAGCAAAAAAAGTCTAGTAACATCTGCTGTGCTCCTGTGCAAGCAAGTCTTACTACTTTTCCTCTTCTCCCCACCCATCTGCAAAAGACCTGGTCAGTCTTTAGTTCTGAAGATTAATATTTAAACACCATTGAAATAGAAAGGTATTTGTCACATCTTAGACAACACAAGGGTAGTGACAACTTGTAAATTACTCTTGGAAAGGCTGAATTCTCATGTGGTTGACTACTAGTTTGATGGATATTAATGTTTTTTAATCCAGAGAATTCAGTGTTCCAGCAAAAGCCTTTATAAGATTTAGGCATTTGTTGTAATTCTTAAAGCCAAGATTGAAATTTTCTCATGTGTTAAAATAACTGGACGCCCCCACCCCCAAAAGCTGTTGTCTTTAATCAACTCCTCCCAAAGTAGGCACTGCACTTATAAGTGTGCTTGTATAAATAGAACACACCAGTCAGATTTTGGCCACTTCTCACCTTTCAAAAGGAATGCAATTCACTCTGCAAGACTCATTTGGAGAAGGAAGTCCATGAAAGGTGCAGCAGGTAAAACAGGACTGGCTTTGTCAAAACCACCACTCCTAGCTACCCTTTACACCCCAGGGAACAACGATCCTTCTCAAAGTTATGTTGTATCAAAAACATCCTGCACTTTTAGGTTCTGGGATTAAATTTTAAACCTGTATTCAGTTCACGTCTAAGTAAATTTCAAAAGCTGCACCAAATCTACTAGGCTTTTTTTTTTTTTTAATACTCTGCATTGCATGCTCTGTCTATATGCATGCGTTTGGATAATAAATATTAAATATGGGGGAAACACACGGAATCCATAAAATTAAAAATGAAACCAAACTGAACATTAAAAAATAGTACACGGTAGCTAGAGAAATGAATAGGGCAAAAAACAAATTTGAGGTAACAATAGTGGCCCAACACCACTGATCTGAAATATCTGTAAAAATTCAAATAAGTGTTTGGAGATTCAAGTAACAAACCATCTGCTTCAACTTGGGTCAGACCTTCCAGAGTCCTGCTGAGTTTCAGTCCATGAGCCGGCACTCACACAGCTCCTTGTAAATCCTCTTCCGCACTCGGGGCATGTCCTCTTGGGAAAACTGGAAAGGCTGCTCTAAGGCGAGGCACTTGCAGTACTGCAAAGGTCCCAGAAACACTTAAATGGCATATGGAGCTTTGATGCAGAACTAACAGAATGGGGCCTAAGGTGGCATTTTAAAGTTTAAACTCGTTGTAAAAACATTGTTTTGAAACATTTGCCTCCAAATTATAGTCAACTTTCCAGGTAAGTATATGGTTTGGGGTCTCCCCTCTCTCCCCCAAACAACACTGTGAGAAGCAGAAATTGATGGAGAGGCTCCAACTCTTTCCAAGGTGCTACCTGCTGAGACTGCCACTCCACCTAAAGTGGTCTTTTAAGTGAGAACTTTGGTTTGTTTACAAACCCCAGACATTCATGAGTCAAAGGAATGAGCCCATCTTCCATGATCTTTGCAAATCTCTATAAATTCATGGGTTATACACAATTTCTTCGTAAACGTAATGTATGACAAAATTTGCATTAATCCTTTTAGACCACTAAGGGAACCCACAGCATGAGAAAGCAGTTTTTGAATGTGGCCCTTATTTAAAATGTAATTAATTTTGTTCTGTGGTTAAAGACCACTTGCCAAAGGTTAAAAAAAAAAAAAAAAAGTAGTTAATTCTGCAAATGCCAAGGGTCTACGATACAGACAGATTCAGACCAGTCTCTAGTGTGCCTAACCTCTGATAAGACATGTACACCAGAGGAGGAGATACTCGGGTACCTGTGCCTAATGCCAGGTACATAACAACAGGGGCTCCCATCTCTCCTTTCTAAACCCAACAAATTTAATTCACACATTCCAAATTCTGGATAAACAGATTTCTTTACCTGGAGCACAAAGACTCCACAGTCACTGTCATTTTTCTGTTGTGGAATACACTAAAGAGAAAAACAAAATGATCATTAAAATAAGACCAAGTACTCCTCTTCAGATAGGAAAATTTGTTTTTATGGAAAAATAAGTAAAAGAAACTTGTCTGTCCAGGACAGCTGGTGTCCTAGTATATATCTCTGGTATTTAAAGTGTGTGATTTTACAGAGGCATCAAAAGCGCTAGCAACCAAATGTATAGAACCTTCGCCTAAATATGAGAAATAGAAAATCAAAACCCTGTTTTAAAACTTGATTTGGATAGTTTTGCTATCAGATTACTGACAATGGAATCAAAATGGAATTGTGGATCAGAAAGCATACGCCTGGACTCTGAGTATGTACTAAAAATCCTGCTTAGTAGTCTTCACGTTTCATCTGTCACTCTTTGAAAGAAATAAAGATAAGCAGTATGTTGGGGTGCCTGGGTGGGTCAGTCGGCTAAGTAATTTTGGCTCAGATCATGATCTCACGGTTTGTGAGTTCAAGTCTCACATCAGGCTCTCTGCTGTCAGCGCAGAGCCCGCTTCGTATCCTCTGTCCCCCCTTCTCTGCTCCTCTCCTTCTTGCATGCTCTCTTAAAAACAAACATTTAAATTATTTAAAAAATAAAAAAGAGCAGTATGTTTCCCAAAGAACTGATTATGTATTCTGCCTAAAGGGGAAATGTGAAGGATGTTGACTAAATTTGGAATACCTAGGTATTCTAGTTGGGTAATTTTCAAAATTTACAAGTTCAATTCCGGTTTCAACTAAAAGACTAAGTTATTAAAAGAAAACTTAAGCCTAGGTTTAAACCTTAGCATTTGGTGTAGTTCAAGGATGAACAAATAAATCTGGTTCCCTTGGGTTTGGCTTAAAGTTTGTTTCAAGACTCTGCCTTTTTTTTTTTAATAGGTTTGTTTTGAGAGAGACAGACACAGTGCAAGTGGGGGAAGGGCAGAGAGAGGGAGAAAGAACATCTCAAGCAGGCTTCCAGCTGCCAGCTCAGAGCTCAACATGGGGCCTGAACTCACGAAACTGAGATCATGACCTAAGCTTCAACCAAGAGTCGGACGCTTAACCGACTGAGCCACCCAGGCACCCCAAGACTCTGCCTCTTTAAGATTGTGCTCAGTGATCTAGACCTAAGTTCAAGGACCCAACTCTATCAGTAGTTCCGATGGCCTAGGTGACACCTAGGCTTCAGTTTGCTCATCTATAAAATAAAGAGGATGCCCATCCCTAAATGACCTGCCTACCTCATAGGCTGTAAGGATCAAATGAGATCACACATGCAAAAACACTCTGAAGACAATAAAGCAGTGACCATAAAATGTAAGATGCTGGTATCTGTGACAGTGATGAGAAGACCTGCCTGAGCACTCTGCCCCATAGACAGCATGAGTGCATATAGGACAAACATAGTGCTGCTTTCATACTGAAACCTTCAAGCCACTGTCTTCCCCAGATGCCTGGTAAGAAGCCCAGTGCACTTGCTCCCTTAGTGGATCCAAACAGTCGCTTCAGCATTTCTCTGGGTCTATGTGGGTCATCTGGAAGAGGCAGGTGCCATCAAAAGAAAAAGTTGTTTTCCTTTCCCTTTTTTCCAATATAACAACCATATCATTAGCAGCTGCCCCATTGATGAAATGACTAAATTTTTCTCCAGAAGCACTGGGAAACTAAGTAGCTAGATGATCAATACTACATAGGTTTATTCTAAGCTGCCTCCCTGCAGCCTCCAGACTCTTACTGGTATCTCCATCACCAGTCTTCAAATGCTTTTAAAGACACCCACCCCTAAGGATAATTCCATCCCCTTGACATGCCTGGGTTTTCATTTTTATCACATACTTACCTTTGTAACAGCAGTCTGCCAACCCTGAAGAAATTCAGGTCTATTTTTTTCTCTGGCTTCAGTCAGCAAATACTTTCTTATATTCTGGTTAAAAAGAAACCACAACACAGATGCTGTGTTCCATCAGTTGGTGAAAAATGGAACCTGCTCACAGCAGATAGAAGCAAAGGAGGAGGAGGCTGTGGCCCCACCACTGGGCAAAGTCTGCACTCAAGAGTTTAAAAGGTGGAACTTTATTTCTGACCTTTCGTTTCATAGTGTTAAGAAGGACTCAGGCCTTCTATACTCAGGTATGCATTTAGGCTGTGGATACCACTGTATGTTTTAATTAGAAGTTTTTGTAAGATGGTCAGCCTTTTCCAGCAGCCAACTTGCTGAATTTGACATTTAAATATTGGGAAGACAAAAAAAAAAGACCTGATTACTGCCAATGTTCAATACAAAGAAGGAACCCATGGCAGAAATCAATAATTGAAACTAAATGAAAAACATTCCAGCCTTAGATATACTCTATTTTGAGGGCTGCAGATAAAGGTATCTTGCAGTTTCTAGAAAGTTCTACTGAAACCCATTCTGGATACTAAATACAGTCGAGTCCACTGCTGAAGCTTCTACCGAGATGAAGCCTATCAGAGTTTCAAATATTCCCTTATGCCCTCTACTTCTGTGCATCACTTCTAAAGGTGAAGTCAGAGGTAACAGGAATTAAACCAACCACACCGAAGGTGGAATATTAGTATGTATGTACATGTATACAACTGTTTTTATGCACATACTACCACACACACATAATACATACATACGTGCACATATGTATTTTCTTCCCATAAACATATACTCTATCACTCTGCAACTGGCTATTTAAAACCCAATAGGTCTTGGAGATCTTTCCATGCTATTTAGAACATGGAGATCTATATTCTATGATCTATGATCTAGATCTATGATCTATGGCCAGTTTAATAGTATGAATGTACTATAGTGTACTTAACTATTCTGTTGGTAGAGCTAAATTTAGGTGGGTTTTTTTGGTTTTTGTTTTTTGTTTTGTTTCTACTATCAGTAATGCTGCTGCAGTCAACATTCTGGTGCATGCCCTATCACTGTGCACATACATACACAAGCATTTTTATATACCAAGAAATAGAACTGGTATTCAATAGGATATATATTTTCTTTCTTTTAAGTAGGCTTCACGCCCAACATGGGGCTTGAACTCACACAACCCTGAGATAAAGAGTGTACTCCAAGGACTGAGCCAGCCAGGAATCCCTAGGATACACATACATCTTTTATAAATTTATAAGGCACTTAGAACTGATCAGGATTTCAACTCCCCTAAGTGGCTAGCTATATTAATTCATATACTCCACCAGAAAAAATGAAAGCTGGTTTCCTTACACCTAACGAACACCTGAATACCATCAAACTTGCCTAATGGGCAAAAGATGAAGCCCTGATGTAGTTTTCATTTGCATTTCCTGTATTTCTGATAAGACTAAGCATCTCTCCACGTTTCAAGGCTATTTGCATTTTTCCTAAAAATTACTTATTTGAATAATCTTTATCCATTTCTCTTAAATCCTTTTATTAATTTTTAGGAGTTCTTTATATTTTCTGGGTAGTGATTATTATATGTCACAAATATTTTCTCCAGGTCTTTCCTTTCTCTTTGAATTTTAGGACATGCAGAAGTTTTAAATTATGGTATGGTCCAGTTTATCAATCTGTTCCTTTAGGTGTTTTGCTTTTATGGCTCTAAGAAGTCTTTCCTGAATCTAAAACATAGCATTTTCTATATTTTATTCTAACTTTTATAGTTTTGCATTTTATATTTAGGTCATTATTTTACATGGAATTTGCTCTTATAAATAGTATGAAGGATCTGTATGTGGATCCAAATAGACAGCTACTTTTCACATTGGCATATATTGAATAGCCTGTCTTTCCCCAACTTTATCATATACCAGGTTCCCTCATATACAGCAGTTATTCCTAGATTCTCTGTGCTGTACCACCAATCTACTGGTCTATTCCTAAGTTTTAATTATTAAAACTTTGTGATATGGTTTGGCCTCTAGTATTCCTTCCTTCAATGTTCATGCAATAAACTCTGCACTATGAATTCTAGGATGAGCTTATCAGTTTTCATTCAAAATCCTCTTGAGAAATTGGGGGCAAATTGGTATATATTATTAGTTTGAGAAGAATTGATCTCTTTCCAATACTGAGCCTACCTATCTTTCCATCTGCTCAGATTTCCTTTAAATATAGAGCTCTACTCTTAAAGAACTTCAATTTTTGCTGGAGTATATACTCCTGGTCAGTTTATATCTGTTTGCTTTTGAAAATGGAATCTTTCTTTTTTCAGTTAAATTTAACTGGTCCTTGATACTGAAAGAAAATCAGGAAACCTATGGATTTTTCTTGCATCTCACCATGTTGTTGAACTGTCATTAGTTGAGCTCTCCTATTTTGCTGGCTGATTCTCTTGATTATAACACATTCTACATAAGTTATTTTGAAGATACAAGCCAATTTTAGCCCTAAGAGAAACCAAGGAAAATGATTTGTATCCATTCAAAATGCAGCTTTATAGGGAGGCAGGAAAATATGTGACAAAATCCAAATTAGACTTGTTTCTCAGAGTGGGATCCATATCACAGACAGCTACCTCTCCCAACCTGGGGATTCCTCTTGTAGTTCTTTTTCTCTGCCAACATTTTAGAGGGTTTTCATGACAGAAATTGATCCCCTATGATAACTGACTTCTGTTCTATTTGATCACAAGATAAATGAAAAAATATAGGCAGTATATTAACTTACCTCTACACAAAACTTAAAATGAATGCCTTGGGAATCATAAAATGAAATAATTCGATTAGAGAGTGTCACGGTAATGAGAGACCAGTGGACTTCCAGGTGAATAGGAATCAACAGAAGACTCTTTTTAAACAAATCCACCTGATTAAAAAAGAAAAAGAAATGCGGCCATCACCACAGACTATCCAAAACAACAGCAGAAACAGCTTCAATTTACTGACCTTTGACCTGTTTGAGGTCATAAAAGCAGGAAGTGGTGAAGCCAAAATCTGAACCCAGGTCTGAATCTAAAGCCCATGCTTGTAACTACTAAGCTATTAATACACAATAAGAAAACTGAAGATCCAGAAAGCACCATTTCACATTCAAACCTGCTACACCTGTGCTTTGCAAATGCTTAATTTGACTTAGCCTTTATTTTTATGCTTTTGTGTACATATTTGACCTTGACTCAATTCTTATGTAGGAAGGAATCATATTATAAAACAGCACAGGCACCATAAGCCTTCTTTTTATAAACTCAGTGTCCTAGTTAAGATCATGGGCTCTGAAGGAAGTCTGGTGAAGTTCAAAGAGAACCTCTTCCACTTACTGGCCAGGTGACTTTGGTCATTTTCATAGCTTCCTTGTGACTTAATTTCCTCAACTATAAACTATAGACAACAGCCCCTACCTTAGGAAATTATTGAGAGAGATAATACATATAAGATGCAGAAAACTGCTTTCACATATTCTATGTAGCCAGTGAATCTTAACTATTACCATTATCACTACCTCAGGTTTCCCAGATGGTAAAATTGAGAAAAATATCCTTGATAATTCTTTACACATCCTTTACAATCTAGAAATATTTACTATTCCACTCAAAATCCCAGTTGTGGAATGAATGATAAAGTAGTAGGTGCTCAATAAACATCTGTAAAAGTTGTGAATGAATTTTTTTTCAGGTTTTTTTTTTTTTTTGAGAGTTTTTAGGGATTCCTTGGGTTAAAACAGTCACAAGGCTACTTTAAAGTACATCAGATTCTTAGAAGCTATTTCTCAAGCCTTCCTTGCTTTCTGATATTCAGATAATGTCCTGCTCTAAATGAATCTTCTACTAGTCGACATGATCTTGGAGCAAAGCACTTTAGCACCTCTACTTTTCCATTTTCTGCATCCATAAACCTGGCAGGTGAGGTGGACAGAAGAAAACATGAAGACAGTTGGTCCTTTCCAATGCACAAATCCTGAGTATCTAAAACAAGGAATCACATCTAAACACAGTATTAAATGAGGCCAAATTTACATTCTTCTTAAAAAGAAACTCTTTCTGGGGTGCCTGGGTGGCTCAGTTAAGTGTCTGACTTCGCATGATCTAATGGTTCAGGAGTTTGAGCCCTTCATCGGGCTCTGTGCTGACAGCTCACAGCCTGGAGCCTGCTTCAGATTCTCTGTTTCCTTCTCTCTCTGCCCCTACCCCGCTCATGCTCTGTCTCTTGAAAAAATAAACATTTTTAAAAAAGCTTTCTCCTAATTATAAAAACAATTTTGTCTTCTTAGTTTATTTTAGAGAGAGAAAGTGTGTGAGCAGGGGAGCGGGCAGAGGGAGAAAGAGAATTTTCTTGTTAGTAAAGATTTTTTTATTTTATTTATTTTTAAAAATTTACGTCCAAATTAGTTAGCATATAGTGAAACAATGATTTCAGGAGTAGATTCCTTAATGCCCCTTACCCATTTAGCCCATCCCCCTCCCACAACCCCTCCAGTAACCCTCAGTGTGTTCTCCATATTTATGAGTCTCTTGTCCCCGTCCCTGTTTTTATATTATTTTTGTTTCCCTTCCCTTATGTTCATCTGTTTTGTCTCTTAAAGTCCTCATACGAGTGAAGTCCTATGATTTTTATCTTTCTCTAATTTCACTTAGCATAATACCCTCCAGTTCTATCCACATAGTTGCAAATGGCAAGATTTCATTCTTTTTGATTGCCAAGTAATACTCCATTATGTATATAAACCACATTTTCTTTATCCATTCACCCATTGATGGACATTTGGGCTCTTTCCATACTTTGGCTATTGTTGATAGTGCTGCTATAAACATGGAGGGGGTGGGGGGAGAAAGAGAATCTTAAGCATTCTCTGTGCTCAGTGTGGAGCCCAACACGGCTCAATTCCACATCCCTGGGATCACAACACAAGCCAAAGTCAAGAGTTGGACACTCAACCGACTGAGCTACCTGGGTGCCCCTATGAAAACAATTTTTAAATAAAAATTAGAAAATACAGATAAGAAGTACACTTCAGTGTATATCTTTCCAGATTTTTCTTCTTTTTAATACATTATCTCTCTCATACATAACTTTATATATATAATTAAGAATGGTATGTGTGGTAGACTGTATTATTTTTTTTTTTATTTATTTTTTATTTTTTATTTTTTCAACGTTTATTTATTTTTGGGACAGAGAGAGACAGAGCATGAACGGGGGAGGGGCAGAGAGAGAGGGAGACACAGAATCGGAAACAGGCTCTAGGCTCTGAGCCATCAGCCCAGAGCCTGACGCGGGGCTCGAACTCACGGACTATGAGATCGTGACCTGGCTGAAGTCGGACGCTTAACCGACTGCGCCACCCAGGCGCCCCAAGACTGTATTATTATTGACCCAATTATTTGTTGCCCTTCCTATAAAAAGGATTATATAGAACTGCCTGATGTCATGTGGCTTCACTGTCCCTCCCAGGTGAAGAAAGTAGTCCTGTCATGTGATTTGCTTTAAGTAGTGCTCTGTAAATAGAAGTGAATTTATGTCATGACCAAGCTGAAGCTTCAAGAGCCATCCTGTGGCCCTGAGACTGTTATGTCTCCAGATTAGGTGCTGTTCCTCCCATCTGGGAGCCCATTTAAGGACTAAAGATGAGAAACTATAGGATCATGTCCTTAGACGCAGGAAAAGTATTTGATAAAACTCAACATCCATTTATGGTTAAAAACTGTCACATAGACTAGGAATAGGACCAAAACTTCTTTAACCTGATGAAAGAGTATCTACAAAAAACCCTACAACTGTCAACACAAACAGTAGTGAAAGACTGCTTTTCTCCTAAGACTGAGAACGAGGCAAAGATGTCCCCTCTCATAGAAGTCCCAGCCAGTGCAATAAGACAAGAAAAAAAATGGCATACAAATTGGAAGGGAAAATTAAAACACTCACTACTTAGAGACATGATTGTCTATGAAAATCTCACAATCTACAAAAAAGTTCCTACAACCAATGCGTCTGGCAAGGTCACAGGATACAAGGTCAATTCACAGAAATAAGTTGTATTTCTATTACTAACAGGAAACAATTGGAAGACAGCATTTAAAAAATTCTGTTTATAGCAGTTTCGGAAATATGAAATAGGGCTATGTTTTGTTTTATAATTTTTTTTTAATGTTTATTTTTGAGAGAGACAGGAGGACGTGAGTGGGGGAGGGGCAGAAAGCGAGGGAGACACACAATCAGAAGCAGGCTCCAGGCTCTGAGCTGTTAGCACAGAGCCTGACATGGGGCTCGAACTCACAAGCTGTGAGATCATGACCTGACCTGAAGTCTGACACTCAACCAACTGAGCCAACCAGGCGCTTCATGTTTTGTTTTGTTTTTGAGATAAAGAGGGTGCAAGTGATCTAGGGGGAGGGGGAGAGAGAAAGAAAGAAGCAGGGCTCGAGCTCACCCAATGTGGGACTTAAACTCATGAACCATGAGACTGTGACTGTGCCGAAGTCAGATGCTTAACAACAGCCACCCAGGCGCCCAGGGTTACGTTTTTTTAAAATATGTGCAAGACCTCTACACTAAGAATTAGAAAATATTGCTGAGAAAAATTAAAGACCCCAAATAAAGGGAACATGTACCATGTACATGGAAATGGAAGATTTAATATTGTTAAGATGTTTATTCTCCC